GGTTTTTCTGCCTCTGACTCCAGCAGGAGCTGGATGTCCTCCGGGAACTCGCCCCTCCTGCTGAGAAGTTTGGACGGTCACTGTGTTTACTCAGGAGGGTTTTGGTGAAGTCCTGTCCCGTCGCCCGTCGTACAGCTGCTCGAGCGGGACACCACAGCAACAACACAGCTTTGCTTAGCTAACTTTTCTTCTTTCCCCACCCACCTACTCCTGGGATATATCCCGTGAGCGGGCTTGGGCAGCATACGCTCTTCAACTTCGACTTTCAGCTGCTTGCCCGTTTTCATATAACGTCTTAGCTTTTTATGCTGTTACCAGCTTTCTTTCACAGGTGTGCTTCCGCGTTTCTTTCTGCGATACGGGCTTTTCGTGACTGCAGCAGCTTTGGCCTCGTGACGGCTCCGCTTGGCCAAAGGCCTGCAAGCCGCAGACAGCAGTCACTTCCGGCAAGCCGAAACAAAAAGAGCGTAGTGCGAGTGACTGCGAGTGCTATGCACATGTCTTCTTGTTGTAGCTTTCATGCTTTCATACTTCCGCTTTGTTGTAGCTGCTCGCACAGTGTAGCCTCTGTGTTAGTTGCGTGGTGTAGGACTTCCCATGAGCCGTGTTTTCCTCATTCTGCCTAGAGTTAGAAGGTGAAGGGTAGTTTTCCAAGCCCGTAGGGACGTTTCTTGGGAGTTTGGTAGTACTTGAGGAGACTTCAGCTCCCAGGAAAGTGTTTAGAGCCCCAAGCCACCTGCTAGTCGTTTTCATTCCTAGCAGCTGCAGGACGATGTGCCTTACTTTGGCTCAAAACCGGACTTGCGTGTCGTGTGAGCAAAACGAAGGCTCTGTCCGAGCGTTGTGAACAGCAGTGCTTTGCCAAGGGTTTTGTTAACGGTCTTTTTCGGGTCCTAGGTGCACTCACAGTCCCTGCAGCTCAGGTCGCTGCCTCTCACAGTCGCTGCAGACCCCAGCCCTCACAGTCCCTGCAGCCCAGGTCGCTGCCACAGTCGCTGCAGGCCCAGCCTCGCAGGTCCTAGGTGCCCTCCCAGTCCCTGCAGCCCAGATAGCCGCTGCAGGCTTCAGTCTCGCTGCAGGTCCTAGGTGCCCTCACAGTCCCTGCACAGCCGCTGCAGGCTCCCGCCTCGCTGCAGGCCACCTCGCTGCAGATCCTAGGTGCCCTACCCCCTCCTGGCCCTCAGCACGAGTGCTTGTCGTCGTGCCGTCGTCTTGTTGCTCCCCGGCCTCTATCCGCACCCTTATCCTCACCGCTGTCCTCACCCGCGGCCCTCAGGACGAGTGCTCGTCGTCGTGCCGTCGTCTTGTTCCTCCCCCGCCGCCGTCGCTCCTCCGCCGCCGCGAGTTGGAGTCGCGCACCGTCCAAAGATGCACCTGGCCCCGCGCACTCGCGTCGTCCCGCCGCCGTCGTCGTCGTCGTCATGCCGTCGTCCCCGTCATGGTTGTTGCTCCCCGCCTCTACCCCCACCCCTATCCTCCGGTGTCCTCATCTCCCAGCCCTCAGCACGAGTGCTTCGTCGTCCTCTGTCCAGTCGCGCCAGTGTGTCGGTGAACCGCCGGTGAACCGCCGGCGAACCAGGTTCACCTGCCCCATTCCGTCGGTTTTAAACCACCGAAAAACCCCCGATGAACCTTTTTTGACCTCCCGGTTAACCGGATACCTGGTTCATCTGCCAGTCTCGCCGATTTTAAACACCGAAAAACCCCCAGGTGAACAACCAGGTTCACCTGTCCGGTTGCGTCGGTTTTAAACCTCCGAAAAAATCCAACGTGAACCCCCGGTGAGGGACTTTGCAAGTTACAGCCGCGCGAGTGCCGAAGATGCACCTAAGATGCACCTAAGATGCACCTAAGATGCACCCCCTCCACTCGCGCCGCGTCGTCTTCGGGGTGCGCTGCGAAGACGCGTGCGTGTGATAGGCCTGGCTGCAGCGACTGTGTGGGCGATTGGAGGTGAGGATAGAGGCGGGGGAGCAACGACGGCACGACGACGGCACGGCCACGGCACGGCGACGACGCGGCGCGAGTGGGGTGCATCACGTGCCTTCACTTGGTGCCTTCACTAGGTCTGGGTCTGGGTCTGGGACGACGACGACGGCACGACGACGGCGCGACGATGGCACGACGACGACGGCAGCAGAGGGCCAGGGGGTGAGGACAGCGGTGAGGATGGGGGTGAGGATAGAGGCCGGGGAGCAACAAGACGACGCAACGACAACCGGCACTCGTGCTGAGAGCTGGGGGGGTGAGGATGGAGGCGGGGGGGGGCAACGACGGCACGACCCAAAGCCTGGCGTTACCCGTGACCCCAAATGTTACCCCATTGTCTCTCCATGTTAGTGTACATGTCGCAGATTTTTCTCGCAGAAAGGACGTTCTGGCGGACGCCACAGCTGGTCCTTCGAGGCAGCCACAGACACTGCAGCGGCCTGGGACGAAGTGCGGGTGAGAAGGCGAGGTGTCCCAAAGCTTCGTGCAATCGGTTCCTTCAGTTTGGAACAGTTTCATCCCTGGAGGTTCGTACTGAATCAGCTGCTCCGCTCGTTCTTGATGTGGTAGCCAGTGTCGGGGTGTATATCGCCCGTATGTGTATACTACTTTAGACCGTGACGGGAAGGATCCTACATGTCAGACTTCAGAAGGCGCATCATTCTATTGACATTGTTGGGATCTACCAACATGCTCTGCATCTGGAGGCGCGGAAACAAAACCTTCATCAGCGACATCAACTGTGGGACCAACTAGGCAGGCTGCTTCATTCGATACCCCAACGCAGCCTCTTGGTTTTGATGGGAGATTACAACTGCACTCCGGCACATGTACCAGGCTCTGTGGGTACCGAATACGCCACGGCAGTCAAGTACCCAGATGCAGGTGAGTTTGCGGCCCTCCTTGAGGTTCACAGCCTTGTTGTTCTCAACAGCTGGGTCAGACATAGACATCAGCATACCTTTGTGGGTGCCAAGCATCAGTCCACCATCGACTTCACGCTTACGCGAAGGCATCATGCAGATGGACTTGCTCGACAGGCCAGGCCGCACCCTCATATCAATTTTAGTCCTTGGCGCCTGGGCGGCAGGCACCTGGCGATCGCATCCAGCATTCCGCTGCACCCTGGGTGGACTTGTGCCTCAGTACGCCGACCTGCGCCTCAGACACGGTACAATAAGATGCAGCTGGATCAGGAAGCCAGACTCGGCGGTCCTCGTATTCAAGCCCTTCGCACAGCCCTTCAAGAATACCTGCACCAGGTACGTGATCCTTCTCCTGAACTAGTCAACAAGTTTTTGCTGCGCAAGGTCATTTTCCTCTTCCCCAAACAACCGACGCCCAGAGAGCCCAGAGCTTGGCAAATGCCAGTGGTGCAAGGAGCTGTTTCCACCATGTGGCAGGCCAGACGTGAGCTTCGACAGATACGACAGGTGCATTGCACAGCACTACGAGCATGCATGGAGGCTTTCAAGAAGTACACTGTTTTCATCAGGGCCTATAAACTTCTCAAACAGCAAGACAAGACGGCCCGCAAGGCACTTCTCAACAAAGAGCTCGCCCTTGCAGCTGAAGCCGCTCAAAGACGTGATGTTGGACAATTACATCGTATTGTTCGAAGGCTGGCTCCCAAATCTAAACACACAGCGGTTCGCATACATGGACCTCAGGGGGAAATTCTACGAGATACTGAGGAGCACCACACCATTGTTCGGCACTTTGAGCAGCTCTTTCAGTCTCTTCAAGAGCCGGAGCCAAACAACATTGTGCTGAGTACCACACTACAGGTCACGGAGAAAGATCTCTATGAGGCGCTCCAACATACCAAGTATGGAAAGGCTGTTCCGAGATCCTCAGCCCCTTCCAGTGCAGTCAAGTGTTGTGCGGATCTCCTGGCACAGGCACTGGTGGGCTCAGTGAACGCCAGCCTGAATGGGCAGTCTACTCCGGAGCTGTGGTCGGATTGTCATCTTGCACTAATTCCGAAACCTCAGAAACCGGCTAAAAGACCTGAAAATCTCAGGCCGTTAGGACTACAGGACTGCGGCGCGAAGGCATACGCCCGACTCATCAAGCAACAACTCCTATACGAAATCAGTCCTCAGCTCCTGAGCCAGCCGGTTTTTGCCTATATTCCACATCGTGGAACCGATGACGCCATAGCTCGTGTCATAGACCACTGCAATTGGGTCCGTGACCAGCACCAGAGAAATGTGTCCAACGTACACACACATCGCCTCCAGAAGCCCAGGCCGGACACACATGGCGGAATGCAATTAGCAGTTGACCTTTCTACTGCTTTCGATCTCATTCCTCGTTCTGAGCTGGCGGCTGCTTTAACATGGGCAGGAACGAGTTCTAACCTAATTGCGGCTATATTGGATTTACACTCTGTTTGCCGCTACACCATTGAACACAAAGGACACACTGCCCGTGTTCATATGCGCCGAGGCGTTCGCCAGGGGTGTACGCTTGCACCACTTTTGTGGGTTGTGTTCAGTGCCTACATGACATATCAACTCCAAGAACACTTACCTGCACACTGGATTGAAAATCATTTAACACTCTACGCCGACGACACCCACGCGAGCTTCCACACCAGCAGTGTCGACGACATCAAATTTGCTTTTCGTGCTATAAGTACCCTCTTTAGAGTATATCGTCGGCACGGAATGCAAGTAAACCCCCTCAAGTCAGGCGTGGTTTTGGGAGTGCGCGGGCTTCGGGCCAAAGAATTTTTGAAAGCCCACACTCAGGAACAGAACGGGCAGAGCTACTTGCTGATTGGCATCGGCATAGACGAGCTACGCATCCCAATCAAAACATCTATGACGTATTTGGGGATCACCATTTCCTATGGCAACTATGAACAAGAAACGCTGGAGGCCCGACTCCGCATTGCCCAGGCCACTCGTTGTCGGCTTGCTAAGGTGCTGAATGCTCGTAAATATCTTACACAACAACAACGAGTACAGCTATACACTCTGTGTGTCAGATCGGCTGCGCTATATGGACTTGGGGCGGTAGGGCTGCATCAGGCTAGCCTACGTAAACTGTCATCAGTTTGAAGCACGGCACCTTAGAGCCCTTGTTCGCTCCCCTGTGCATTTGACGCGAGAATCTACACAGCACCTGTACAAAAGATTGAAGCTTAAACTACCTGGACACCAACTGCTACAAGTGCTGCGGAACCAATCTCGCCGAGCGAAACATGATGAACATGGATATAAAGCCTGGCTTCACAGTCGTGCATCGAGATTGTCGGACTTACTGTGCTTGCAGCAGTCTGGTCTTCGCGAAGTTGAGGTGCATCAGGAATTAGCCTGTCCTACATGTGGTCAATGTTTCAGCACACTCAAAGACCTTCGGCAACATCATACCAAGACGCATAAAGTTCGACTACAGCAACGCTCGCAAGGACCAGCTGCACGCTTGCATGGCCTGAGAACTCAAGATCATTGCCTTGAACACATGCCTATTTGCAAACATTGTAAAGCGAAGCTCACCAACTGGCATAACTTCAGGGTGCACATTCTCACTAGCTGTCCTGTCTTGCATGCACGTGAGGGGAGCTCTCAGGGGGGGTCTGCTGAGCAGCACGCTGCGGGACCCAACTCTGAGCTTGGATCTGCTTTGCAGCTCGCTGCGGGATCCAGGGCTAACACTGAAACCACGGAGACAGCTCCTGTTGTGGAGCGCCCAGTTGTGCAGCTGATCTCCACAGTCGATTGGAAGTCTATACTATGCTTGGATGGCATAAAAGAGCACCTTCGTAATCATTGTGCTTTCTGCTCTCAGTGGCTGTCGTCGGCACCCGGTGCGCTCAACAAGCACATCATCTCTCTTCACCCTGAAATTGCATGCCTCAGGAAGGACGCTGTGGCTCAAAGCATTACCCTTCGCGAGGGTAAACAACGGCCCTGTGGAGCTTGTGGTGCGCGGCCCCTACACCGTACCCAGCATCGATGCAGAGTTCTCTATCAACTTTGCTTGCTACGGCATGCCCACCTTCAGGCTCTTCGCGGCGTCGCCTGCATCAGCCATAGCCTCAGCTCCCTTCATGGAACAGACAGGAGCAGAGGCCCTGCAGGAGGTCCGCCAGATGTTTCCGCATCTTGCGGCAAGGACGGGGCAACCGGAGGCGCCGGATGCGGACATGAGTGCAGCCCCAGCCCTGGGACGCCGAGACCGGGAGGAGAGCTCACAAGAAACCCCGGAGAAGTACCCGAGGCCAGCAGGCAAGGGCCAAGCTCCGCCGACGGGGAAAAGTGCGGCGGAGGAAGCTCCAACCACTGCCCCCGTGACGGGGGACCCGGCACCGAAAGCTGCAGCGAGCTCGCCGGCTCAGCAACGCTCGCAGCAGGGACAGCAGGCGGGAAAGACCAACAGCGGCCGAGTACGGCAGTGGACTCAGGAGGAGTGGGATTCCTGGACAAGCTGGGGGCAAAACAATCGGGAGCTCACCACGAAGGAACTTCAGAGAGAAGTCGAAAACCTTCGGGAGAATGTTCGACTCCTGGCCCGCATCTCAATGCGGCACGAGGACGAGCTGAGCCAGAAGAGGACTGAAACGGAAACGGACTTTATCCTCACACTGGAGGTGGCTCCAGCCGATGCCACCCCGGACCAGGAAGGCCTGCTGGAGCAGCTATACAAAATGACGGTCGAGTGGAAGACCAAACAAAGCAAGGAAAGGTCAACAACTCCTTGCGACTTACTTTGTTCATCGGCCTCCTCATGTACTACGAGCTCAAAGTCCACGAGGCGACAGCCTCAGCCGAATCCCTGGAGCATCTGGCTCAGCTGGGGTATCTTCGACAGCTGGAGGGAAATCCAGTCTGGAACTACCTGCGATGGAGCTACGACAAGGAGGAATTGGAAACATCCGAGCAGCCTCCATTGCCGGATGCGGAGCTCCGCTCCCTGCTGACGGTTTTGAAGGCCAGCATCGGTGCCCCCGGCGTTTTGCTTCGATTCCACAGCTCGAGGAAGTTGGTGGAGCAGCACAAGTCGGCGGTGACCTTCTTTCTGGGAATCGGAATGAGGGATCCGCAAGCCCGCATCTGTTACCGGGCCCTGCAGCAGCTATGCTTCAGCTCGAGCACCCAGCTGATCAAGATGAGGCTGAAGCCGGTCAAGATGGAAAGGCAGCCCCTTGTGAAGATCCTCCAGGAGAAGTTTCCAGCGCCGCCCGCCCGAAGCGAGGAGCAGCGAGTGACCTTCCTGGCTCGAACTCAGCAGCAGTGGCGAAAAGGGAAAGGTCGAGGCAAGGGCAGCCAGCAAGAGGGCAGAGGCCGAGGCAGCAACGATCACCAGGAGAGGGAGGAGAACTCCCTGGAGGCTGCGGCGAGGTCCTTCAAGAGCCAATGAGCCGACTTTCGGCTCTGGCTGCCAGACCCATGCTCAGACTTTCACTTGCCAATCCGCATCAGCTTTGCTATGCCAATTCTACAGTACTCTCTTTTCTATGGATGGGCTTGGTACAGATGACCTGTCCAGGAACAGATCCGTCAATGTACTTTGGTATGCTCACGCCTCAGTGCCTTCAACTCCTTAAGCATGAGTTCGTTGGGCTGCTGCAATATCCTTCTTGGAGGACATTGCTGATGGAATGGCGGCCGGTTCTCAACGAGCAGCAAGATGCTGCTGAATTTTTGGCTTTTGTTTTGGCACGTGCGAGGTCGTCAGCTTACCAAGGCAGATGGCAGAGCAGATATATGGTTCGGAGTTTGAGCTTTGTTGGCGACCAAGGACATTGTTTGCCACCACTTGCATTTGAAATTCATCCAGATGGTTTGCAAAGTTTGCAGGCCAGTATTACAGCATGGCATAATCAGCATTATAAGCATGCTTTTTCCCAGGCGCCGACCCTTCTTTACCTACAACTCAAGCGGTACACTCGGCAGGATGGAGGCAGGATGGAGCAATTCATAAGATTATGACTTACTTTGACTATCAGGTGGGCACTGCTGTTCGGCTTCCTGTCTTCAGTTCTGCCACTGGCTTGGTGGTGGAATGGGTTCCTTATGCAGTTATCAGTGTGGTGATTCATACCGGACAGTCGGTCCACTCAGGCCACTACCAAGCTTTGCTGAGTGGCTTCCGAAAGCATCCGACAGCCCCGCGCTGGACTAGTATGATTACAGATGATGGCAGACCTGCTAAGCCTTGTTCGGAGCAACAGCTACAACATGCATGCTGCAACTGCTACTTGCTGGGTCTGCAGATGGCGGACTGATCGGATGCCTGGATAATAGGAGCACCGCCTGACTCACTGCTCTGAGCCCTCGTTTACTTTGCACATGCTGTAATCATGTTTTCACCGCTTTACATTTGATAATGTGTGCTGCCTCGCTTGGTCACTCGTGACGGAGGCGTGTGCTTGTGTCCGCTTTGCCACACGTGGCGGGACACTCTTAGTTTGTCAGCGAGAATGCACTCAGTGCAATAGCGCGTTGTGCAGCTTATGCCGAGCTTTTAAGGCTTGTTCTCGAGCGGTCGCAAAGCGTCCTTCAGACCGGACGCTGCGTGTTGAATGAATGAAAATGTATACTACTTTACTGTTCAGGTGCTCCTTCTATGCAACCACACCGAAACATTTACGTGGTGTACTATGTTCCGCAGTTTCCAGTCGACGAGGTTCTCCTCACTGACCTCAACCATTCGCACTTGGTGTCCCCCTTTGGAGATTGGGCGATGAAAGAGGACACAGGTGAGGAGTCTCCTATCAGAGCCGACATTTCACAGGGTTTCCGCTTGGTGGTGCTACTTCGCCTAACGGTGGAGAAGGCATCAGGGTACAAGTGGGTAAAGAAGACTTTCTATGTTCCCTTCTTGCTGAACACGGGATCTCCACAAACCTTCCTTTGCAAAGGCCACTACGACAAGCTTGGCATCGGCGATGCTCGAAACACGTACATCGAGGGCTCTTTTGCAAATCCCTGCATTTCTTCGGGGCAATTTGAGGACATCAACTACTATCAAGCGGGCCACATCTCGCAACAAATGTTCCGAGCGCCGTCGCTTTCCCGGAATTGAGTATTTCTGCTATATGGGATTTAAGTATATGTGTCCATTAAGTGGACTGAGATATTCGATCATGTACGTTTGTCGAATCAGCCTCAACTGAGAATCGAAAGTATTTACTCATGCGAGCATGAATTTGATTTATGATGTGAAAGTTGATTGTTTCTCTGTCGAAACAGAAAACGGCTGATTTCGATTGTGGGCATGTTTCACCAAAGTTTTGTATGCCACACGCACATCGAGCGGCTTGTTTATCTTCCTAGCCGCCGCTCGAAGGATAGTTCAAGAACATTATTGTGTTTCCACCCACCCATCTTGGGGGAGAGCGGAGTGCTCATGAGGCGAGGTGCCTCGGAAGTGGCGCTACTCTCGACTGTACGTGCGGCTTGCGCTGTCAACCCCGTTTGACGCCTTGAGCGCAAAACATGTTCCGAGCGCGGCTTTCCAGGAATGAATTTGATGGAGTATCTCCTTTTCATGTATATGTGTCCAATAAATCAATGGACTGAGATATTCGATCATTTACATTTGTCGAATCAGCCTCAACTGAGAATCGTAAGCAGACATTTAGATGTGCTCATGTCGCCCAACGACATGGCCGCTTTCTCTTGAACCAGACTTGGTTATGTTGACAGACGGGCCAACAGTTCGGAAAAACAGGTCTGCGTGTGAGAGTTCTGGTAGAGCATGACATGGCACAAGCATGTGACCAATTTCAGTGAATCAGATTGGATATTTTATGACGCAGTAGCCGGTTGTGAAGACACTCATAAAACCGCACCGTTTCAGTTCCCGGCTCAAAATGTGGTTGGTGGCACACGTGCATTGAGATGAGCTTTTCGGACCGTGTCCAGATCTAGGTGGTTTAGCGCTTCCTACTCTATAGGTGTCTCCAGGCAAGCATGTTTCGAAACAGTGGCGACATAGGCCAAGGCACACATGCTAGGCGATGAGCGAGCACTTGCGGCAATCCTCAATTAAAGGTAGTCTTCTCTTGGCTTCTCCAGCCCCATGGGCGACCCGAGCATTGGGATTGAAAACGCCGAGTCTTTGGTGACTTTTAGCCTGGCGGATTCCGGCTACCCAACTGGGGTGGTGCAGTCCGTCTTCCGGGCTTGGTGGACAGATGCGATTGGCGAGACAAGTCTGGCGTCCACCGAGCAACTGAAAGGTTTCGTTGCAAACTGCAAAGCTCTCCGATGCCCCGAGGCTGGGGCCGTCTGCTATCAGGCTATCAGGGAGGTAAGACTTGAGGAAGCGGGACTGAGGCTCGTGCACGGCCTCTGGATTAGCAAGTGGCATGACGCCCTGAACATGTTCAGATTGACCACGTGCCCCCTTCGCTTTAGCCCCCTTTGTTAGGGAAGGGCTCATCGCCGTTGCGCGGCATGCGGCTACGCCGTCCACAAGGCCCCGCGTGCTATCTGCAAAGCTGCTGTGTGATGCGGTCTTGGGTTCAGGGTCTGGGTCTTGTGATTCTGGGGTTGGGAGGTCGGGGACTACAGACTATGGCTGTTTTCTCCCCTTGCTTTAACTGCAGTCTGAGAGGGAAGCTGTGCGAAGCGTGAACTCTCGCCACGAGGACCCGGCTTTTGGCGGCTTCTGCTGCAAGATGTGTCACCAAAGCTGGGCAGCGAAGAAGAGCCACTTGGCTTATCTTGGCTTCAGAAGGCTAATGATGATGTTGAACCTAACTCGAAAGCTCGAGGTGCTCGCCACGGGCGGAAGTGCTGCAGGACCGGTGCGTGATTGGCTTTCTTGCCAGTGTAGTGCTTAATTCTTCCGTGTCAGCGGCCGAGTGGTGCTGAGTTTAAGTTGCGTCTGGAATGGTAGCGATGGGAAGCGCGTCGTTGCAGGCGGGATGGTTCCGATCTGCGACTGGCGCTGCCGATGGCTCCGCATGAGCCGCTGCAGGATGAATGCGGGCGTGTGCTGGGGTTTGTGTTTGTGAGGATCACAAATCCCCCTGCAACGAAGAGAACAGCTCGTGCAGACGCCTGGTAGTTCCGGCCAGCCAGTACAACTGCATCATGTGATGCTATGGTTCTTGTAGATGCCAACCTGAAGTATCGTCGACAGCTCACGTCTCTGCTATGGGCACCAGGAGCCTGCCGCGCCAGCCGCAAAAGTGCGGTCGGATCTCCCAGGCCGACACGCTTCTCAGAAACATTTCATGGCATTGAGGCTTGGGGTGGGGGTCCATGGTCCTCGGCTCACAGCCTCCGCAGGGCACAAAACGCAAAGTTCCAAGCAACAAACCCCAGCCAGAGCCAATACCTTGACTGCGTCAAAGCTACCTGCATTTCAGCATGCTGGCACCCGATTATAGAGGTAAGTGCCAGACCCTCCATGTTTTTGAGTTGTAACCGTTGAAAATCCTGAAGTCCGGCAGCCGGAAGTCTTTTCCGAAGGTATCGAAACGAAAAGCCTGCGCTGGGAGGATTTCGCAGCATGGCTTTACAAGTCCCACTAAACCCGAAACCCTAAACACTAAACTAAACCGTACAGCCTAAATCTAAGTCTCTCACATGACCCCCTGTTATGACCCCCTAAATTGCCAGGACTCTTGGACTCAGCTTGCCTGCAAATCTGGAGCGTTTTGCAACCACTGCAGACCTCTTAAGGCCCAGCAGTTTAGGGTTTAGGGTTTAGCATACAATCAAGCCCTTTTGACTGCTCTTCCACAGCCCTCTTGTTCGGAGACAGAAGGCTCACGCTGCCAACTTCCTTCCAGAAAACAGCATAAAATCAACCTCTCTCTGTCTGCTCTATCACAGACCCTGTTCTTTATGCATCCCTGTGTTTGGCTCCCCCCTGAAATAGGGGTGCATAAAACAGCCCCCTTCGTCTGTTCTTTTACAAGGAGGGCCCAGGGCCCCGACCGAGCACAACCCGACCACTTTACTGGAGCGCATGCGCGCGCGCGAATGTTGACAAGTATAGCTAGAAAGTAGCATTTATAGAGGAGTATGATAACACCCTTTCATAATGGTTTGATAATCTTTATGAAGGGGTTTCATGATTTTTCCAGATTCGTGGTGCATCTGAGGGGTGCATAAGAAAAGTTTTAGACTAAAACTCTGGACCCTAAGGCCCGAAACGCTACGCCCCAAACCCTGAGCCTTTTCCCCCCCAAAAAAAAAAGAAAAACCTGAGCCCTTAACACTGAACCCTGAATCCCAAGCCCTAAACCCGAAGCCTGCACCCTGCACCCCAAACTGTTGGTGGTAGGTCGTGATTCCCTTTCCTTGTCGAGGCAAACTCCCGCAACCAAGCCTCAACCAACATGGGATTCCGGACACCTTCGGGCAGATGGAAAAGAAAGAGGTGATTAAAAAAAAGGCCAAGCTGAGCTCCGAGGTCTTCTGCTTGGCCGGTGCCAGCTCGCAGCATCCCGTGATCTGCATCTCGGGCGGCCACGAGGGCTCTGAGGTTCTCTGAAGTAAGACTAATGGTAAAAAGAAGATCAAACCCGACATGTTGGAGATAGTATTTGTCATTTGTTGCTGGCTTCCAGTTTCAGGCTTGTGCTACAAGGCAATACAAACTCTAGCAATTGCATTACATCCCGGAAATCTCTCTTCAGTGCCGGGACGAAAGCCATACTTACTCAGGAAATAACCGCACCGCCATGCAGGTTTGGAAGGCCAGGGGCCCTTCGGCTTTAGGCTTTGGGGTTTAGGGTTTAGGGGCCCGTTTCCCACAAACCCTAAACCCTAAACCCTAAACCCTAAACTCTAAGACCCTCAACCCCAAAAGCCCTAATTTTAGACTTTAGTGCTTGATCCCCTGGCGAGCTTGGGTGAGCTCAGGCGTCGTCCACTGCAACGAGGAGCCCCTGAAGCTCCTTGGCCGATGGGGGAGCGAGGGGGAGCACTATATTTATAGACATAGATGTAGATATTATGGATAAAGAGATAGATATAAAAAGAGATATAGAAAGATACATATATATATATATGTGTATATATGTGTATATGGATCTATATCTATATATATATATGATATATGTATATACATACATACACGTACACTTCATAGCAAGTCTTGTGGCAAAATTCGTAGAGTTGAGAAGGGCCCCTGTGCACGGGCGTGGGCACACTCGTTCTTCGACAAGGCTCGAGTTAAACAGACGCGGCTCTCAACCTTCAGCCGCACTGATCGAGGAGGCGATGACTCACCACGACATGGTCGATGACCGCTGGTGTGGGCTCCGCAAGGCTAGAGATCGCGTGATGAGGTGCATGCTTGCTCATGACAACCTCCATACAGGCGGTCGAAAAGGAATGCCCGTACACGAGCACGCAGCTTGACTGAACTAGTGCCTCGGTGATGCCGTAACTGTTTTGTTTGCTACGGAGGTGGTCAGGCATCTTCATCCATGAAGTTGTCGTGGATGGCCTTGTCGGGCTTGGCATCGGGCGCACGCGGGACCGGCTTCTTTGGGCATCTCCCTAGATCTAACCCGCCGATAAGGACCCCACGAGATCTCGACTCATCCCAGAATTGCTGGAGCAGGTGTGAGCCAAGGAGTAAAGCCTAATATTAATATGAATAGTAATATGAATATTGGTAGTAACAGTCATCGTAACAGTAGTTGAAACCTGTGTGAGCCCCCGCTTGT